GGCTACAAAAATAATCACTCTTGCTCAGATGGACACACCGGCACTGTAGGTATGTTCATGCAGATTAATTCCACCTTTGTGTCCTCCAGCTTTGAGTGCCTATATTGAGGTACTTGGGTCAAAAATTCGGGAAGAAATGAGAATCCATTGTATAATCACACTGTGCCTCATACTGTGATCTCTGTGAGGCAAGCATTAATGATCAATCTTATGTTGAAAGAGCGAGTCAAGCTGGGATTCTTCATGGTGCTTTGGATCATCTCATCTCCAGAACAGTGTATTTAAAGTATAGCTTTTCAGGGGAATTGCCATAATAGATGAAAAAAAGAAAAAAAACCCACCAAAAAACAAACAAAAAAAGAAGAGAACAAAGGCAGACCTCTTTTTTTTTCCCAGCTTCTGTTTAATTTAATAACAGGTTGCTAACTGATAAGATTCAAACCTATGAATTTAATAAAGAACATCTATAATTTTATGTCAGAACTTAGGGTTCTTAAGCCTCTGAACATCAGCTTCATGGTGAACTAGGTTGTCAGAGATACATAACCTGCTCAGTTCTTTTGAAAAAGACAAGCACAATTTGGTTTGGGAAATGAGATTATGTATAGAAACACAAATGTATTTTTTCCTTTTGTTTATTAATTATGGTATATAACTCTTTATGGCCCTCACTGCCCCCACAGTGCTTGAGGAACTGGAGATAAAGGAACTCCAGAAGGACTGATATCCACACGAATGCCCAAGTGTTTTACTGAACTCAATCCTTAGCTCTAGCGTCTTCTATAATACTTAGAAGCCCTCCTCTGCTCCCATGGAAACACTGAAATGTCTCGCATTTAGAAAATATTATGGTGGCTATTTAATAATGTTTGGTCCTTCTCTGGAAGAGAATTATTTAGATTAAGTGTGTGGCAAATTAGTCTGAAGATTTAATCTCCTTGTTTTTCTGATCTCAGCCAACAATAGAGTGAATTGTTATCGGTGGTTTCCTCTGAGGTGACCAGCACCTGCAGTATTTCAGAGGATGCAGTTGTCTGTGTCTAGCCCAGTTTGCAGATGTCAACTGCATAACTCTGCCTTGTTTTACAGTGAGCTGGGAGAGAGCACTTGCTATCCAACTTTTTATTACTTTTGACACTATTTTGTACAGTTAGCATTCTTAGAAAAACATTTGAGCAGTTCCTAAGCAAGTTTCTTCTTTTGATATTCAGGTTCTTCATCCACTGCTCCTCACTTCCACAATATCTTCAACCAAAAGCTTGCTAAAACACTAGGAATACTGTTGCCTTTTAACTTGAAGATTTAGGCATCTACTATGACATTTAGCCTGACTTTATCACCTCTTTCCAAAAAGGGGATTGGAATTTAGGCTTCTTCCTTTCTCCTCCCTGAAAGCTCTGTGGCTGCCTACGTTTCCCACAGGACATGTCTGTATTGTGGGGGCCAAGACCCTACAAATCACATATCGAATGCTCAACTTTAGAGATTGTTGCCCTTTTTTAGACATAGCCTTGTATCTTTCTCAGCAGAGATCTTTACTGGATTTGTAAGGAGCTTCCTGTAGTTACAGTTCCAGAAGACAAGGGGCTCCTTTTCTAAACATATAAAACATACCTTACAATTGCAAAATGCAAAGCATCTTGATACTTTCCAATTATCTTTGGTCTAAGACATGTTTAATTTGGTCTCTGAGTGAACAGCTCATGTCTCTCCCAACATTCCCTGTGGGTTTTTTATTTGATAGGATCCACATTTCTCCTCCAAAAGGAGTTTAAAATGAATGTGTTTTAATGACAACCCTGTCTGCTACTGCTTCTGTGGTCCCTGTTCCCATTCTTGCCGCAGTCATCATTACCAGGGACCAGAGAGACCATGGCAGGAGCAATCACAGCAGAAGTGGTGGAAGAGGCCAGGGCAGTCACTGTGCCGGGCTCTGGTTGCCTATTCCTTACCTTCCAGAATGGGCTTCATGCCTTGGAGGACCAAGTGGTTTGTAATGCCAGATTTGTCATGTTTTGCCTCAAAGGTGTAAAAGGCAATGGGCCACCTACAGCCTGAGTTGCCAGGGCTTTGCTTGAAAAGAAATATTAAACTCCTACATAGCACTTCTTATCCATGTGTCTTATAAGAGGAAGATAAACATCATTACCCTGAACTACAGATGGGTAACTCAGGTACCATCAAATCAACTTGACCAGTACTGGATAGTTTGGCCACTGTCACTTGCAGGTACAATCTAGTCCTCCCCGTGTCCTGCCAGTGCCTGAGCCTTTGTGAGAGGGAATAGACAACAGTGAACATGGGTCAGCAGTGGGTCCCTACCTGCACCTACCAGCTGGGATGGAGAGGAATGAGACAGGTGAGCACAAAGGAACAGCAATGGCAGGATGGCTTCTGCAGTAAACTTCTGCCCATATGATGTCATTACCCAGGATATTCTTGGCCTCCAGGAATAATCTTTCCTAGCCAGGTTCCAAGGCTCGGCGATTGCATGGGTTTTTTTCTGAGTTATATTGAAAACTCCTTGGTTCAAGGGTCACAGCCTGGTCTGATTCATGTCAAATGGGATGGCACAGAAGAAACATATCCTAACAAGTCATTCATAGGTCAAAATGGGATCCAAATAATGGGGGTTCTTTTTCTTTAGCTCTGGTAAGGCTGTATTTTTTGACCAGTGGCAGAAGTAAAGCTCATAAATCCGGTTAAGCCAGTCTCACAGGCCTACCACACTCAAGCAGGAGAAATAAAATCTTATAGTCCTAAGTATATAAAATACTGCCATGGAAGGAGGTCTGTGATTTCAATAACACTTTGTCCTATTGCAGAGTAGGAGCACAATCAATTTAACAATAGACAGTCATGAAATGGTAGTCCTCATTTCTGCAATCAGAGGCCATTAAATCTTAATTCCTGCTTATGCAATTATGAATAGTGTTAGCGCCTTAGGGAAACCCATAATGAACCACAGTGGTTCAAAACTGTTCTTGGGAATGACTTAATTCGGCATGGAATGGATGGGAGGGCACTCTTGCATTTACTTCATCAGTATAAGGAAAAAACCTGACAATGAAGCGGTGGGAAATTTGTTTATGACCTTTCACTGATCCTGAAAACTTTTTTCTGAAAACCAGCCTCTGCACAGCACTGAGAAAGTGCAACGTTGCTAATCCTCCCCTCCTACCCACCCCCTGGAAAAAAAAATACCAGAAATGGGCAAAATATTGGAAATGTGGAAAAAATTCTTCTAATCTTCTTTGATTAGAAGAAAGTCCACCTGTACCCAACAACATCTTGGTCCACTTGGAACTAGAGCGACTTGCCGGCCTCCTCACCAAAGGGCTGGGAAGAGAGCGTTGCCCTCCCAATGCTGCTCACAGCCTTGCTTTTCAGAAAGGGAGTAACCCAATGGACTGTGTCAGGAATTCAGCTATAAATGTCCTCATGAAGACCTAAGGGTAATTTGCATGTAAACTGTTATTCCAAGCAAGTTTATACTGAGACATGGCAAATTACTGAGCAGTTGCACCAAAACAGCGACACGGCACTAACCCATTAATGCAGTACCCACCCGGGACTCTCTGCAGGACCAGTCCTGGAGAGGCAGACCCACACTGGCTGGCTCTAACCAAGCTCAGCGGGGACTAGTCGTGGTTGTTGTTTGCTTGCTTTCCACATACCTGCAGAAACCGTGCTGCGTGACTTACAGTACCCTGCCTTGTTCAAGACTAGTTGGACCGACTCTAGTGTGAGGGACTCATTATCTGAACCAGCCAGGACTGCTCCCTCTGGAGCAGCTGTGGTCTGTTCCTGCACCTTGGAACCTGTTCATTTATACGCCCTGCAATTCCTTTACCCAAGCACTGGGTGCTACACTTTCCAGTAAAGCCTACTCCTAAAGAAAACCACAGAAAACTGTCTCATAACAATAACTAAAGCTCCAAACTGGTGTTTAAGCACATTAATTCCTTTCTGCCTTCCCACTCTTCCATTATCCTATACAGAAGGGACCGTACAACTGAAACTCACGCGGACACTTTTTAGAAGATGATATTGTATTTAATTAGTCCTTTCTGTAGGTGGGGAACTCAGCCTAAGACAACTCTGTTAGAGCTTTCCCTACGCAGCAAGTAACTCCCTATTTCAACAATAGCTCTACTGTAAGATCTAGGTTCTTCCCAAAGCTGGTCACCGGCACCTGACCTGGGATGACATCCAGCTGTGCAGCTCCTTTCCTTCTGCCCTGGCTTCCATATGCACAAATTGGAAAGGAGCACATGTGCACTTTAATAAGGCCCTTCAATCTGGACAATTTGGAACTGGCCACAAGATTTGCTACAGACAAAACCTTTCTCTTTGCAGGACTGGGCACACAGGAACTTGTGTCTTCTTGTAGACTTTGGTCTACAATACAGAAAAAAATCAACCCTTCTTTTTTTCTGAGTCAACAAAATGTTTCCCTACAAATATAAAAATAAATGCATGTAAAAAAAGATTTTTGGCAACTTTTGTTTCTTATTTAAAGGAATATAATTCTTTCCATCCTCTCTACCATCACATGTGCTTCACTTTTGCCATCTAATTGTCTTTAAAATGCTGCAATTCTAGTAAAACCAGCATAAACAGCAGAGTGCTGGCCCATCCATTCAATCGTGTTTTACATTAGATGCTAAACATTTTGTTCCCCTCTATAATGTGAATATGTAACCCCTCTATAATGTGAATAAGTGCTATATTACATGTTTTAACAACACTAGCAGCAAATAGTGGAAAACCAACTGCACGTTCCATCTTTGCGTGTGTCCTTCATGCACTATGTGTGACAGAAAAGCATTCTAGTTTTGTTCACTCCTTAAAGCTTTTCATGGAATCAATTCATTAAAATTAATGAAGAAATTTTACATTTTGCAAAATATATGGAGTGTCACCAAATATGTTTCTGGTCCTGCAAAATCTAGTCAAGCAAAAGAAACAAAACGCTTCTCATCAAACAAACGTATAGGTTTATTAGAGCAATTTTCCATGTTTTAAATGTGCAATGGTTTCACAATTTCTTGTTTCCTTCTGTTTTCATTATTGTGCCCTCATGATAGCCCAAAGCAGCTGTTAAAAAAGACCTGTATCTCCGCAGATGAACAATTAATAAATATAGGCTGTATCTTCCAATGCTACAATTCTGTGAAAAAGCAAAACTTGGTATTTACAAAAAATGCCTGGAATCCAAATGCTGCTAAATAGTGTTATCAATTTAATTACAGAAGCTGTAGAACACTCACAGGGTACATTTACGCCGACAAGCCCTAAGTGTAAGCCTAGATATTGTAACATATTTGGAAGAAACTAAAAATTGTTATTTTGAGTCTGTTTCCTTTTTTTTTTTTAATATATTGGTCATTACCCAGCTTAGTTTTATAATGAACATTATTCAACATTGTTTTTTTCTTTGTTTTCTCTGTTTGAATATAAAGTGTAATAGAAAAATAATTCAATTCTGCAAACATGAAAATTCTGTTAGTACAGCTAATTGTTTTTTAATATATATTTTATGTACAAAGAAAGTAGTAACACAAATGGAAAACTAGGCAAAGGACAGTGTACTCAACTTCAAACATTTGCAATTTCAGTAATTGTGAATTACCTGCGTGCAAAGTATATGCAGTACATACAATGTGCACAAATACACACACACACGGCGTCATGGCATGCATTTTTTGGACTAAAATACAACTTTAGGTTCACAAAACTTTCACCCATAACTGGTGAGAGCTGTAGTCACCTCTGTGTACCAAAGGTGGTCAAAAAGATAGTCTGTTAAATATAAGCCATTCCATCATGCTGTCCTTTGGGTCCTAGTGTTTTAGGCAACAGCAACAAAACATTAGACCAGATTGTTCTCCTGAAGAGCAGAGAATGATAAAACAGAAGGTAAAGAGAAGATCTAAGATTTTCTTTAGCAACAACAGAACCCAAATATTTTTTTTGGAGCTATATTCTTCTCTATTCTTTGCCTGGAATAGACAGTGACACATGTGGAAGCTCCCAGAGTGGATGCCAAGCTGAGTATCGTCTCATCTGCCATCAAGCTCTATGAATTTCTACTACCGTTCTTGTGAGAGGCATGAAGCCCATCCCCAGTGAGAGCCACAGTTGTGACCTCATTTATTATTTTTTTCTTCCCAAGCAATTAGGAAAGCAATCATCTTTTTTGGATGGTTTTGGTGGGAAAAAAAGAAACCTGCTGCTGAAACCCCTCCTTGCAAACATAAGGATGCGTGTTATACAGCCGCGCATGTGTCCCACCACTCCAGGGAGCCAGTTGGGGCTGCAACAGGAGTCCTGCACACTGCCAGGAAAATGTATGTATTTCAAGACCCAGAGAACTCAGGTGAAGACAGGTAGCTGGACTCCTCAAAGAGATCCTCAGGACTTTAAACCCTCAGCAAAACTTATTCAAGGAGCTTCAAAACCCAATCTCCAGGTAAAGACAGACTCCATGGAAAGATGTAACAGGATTTTTTACAAGCTGTAGGAACTACATTTTCCTTGGCATGCGCAGTAGTGAAAACAAGCACACCTTGAATCTTTATAATGAGTAAATGTGTTGTGATTGACATTTTATTGCAGCTTACTGCCAAAGTCTCTATTGTCATGATCTACCAAAAATAAATAAACAACAGCAATGACAATTTTTATGTTCCGAGAAGACTTATAAGTTTGATTCTCAGATCTCTGTCCTGTAATATACTGATTCTTCAGCTCTTACCAAACGGCCACTTTCTCCTGAATTTATGGAGCTATTTTCTTGACAACCAAATGTGACTAATCCCAGCTGTCTTGGTGAAGAAAAAAGAGAAGATGCAATTGTTACTCATAAAGCAAGTGTTTCTGGTAGTCACAATGGGTTTTCTTGGTGTATCTGTTTGTAACAGTGTTGAGCTAGTCATAGCTTATCCTACTTACTTATCAATATATCTTTAAAAAGTAGTTTAAAAAAATCAAGATAGGTGCAACAACACACACAAAAAAAGTATGCTGTGTAACTTCCATCAACAGGAAAGGGAAGAGGAAATGTCACCCCAAAAATGAAACCCTGCAACACACATACAGACATCGACAGCACTGAAGGCTCTGCTTTCACAAGGGCTATTAAATTTCATTAACTGAGAGTTGCTAGACCTTTACAAGATAAAATGGTATGATCAATTACATTTCCAATAGTATAGAGCCTGTCTAACCACATTCCTTATCTGGACAGTCAGGACATTCCCCCAGCTCTTTTCTTTTTGTGTTTAAGACTAATTTGTGATCTTGCTCTTATCGTCATCTTTCCCCGTGACTTCATTGAACAACCATGAGAAGTTGTAGGCATTAACACTAGAGAGCGGAGTTACCCCAACACATGCCAACTCCACTATTCTCACTGCTCTGAACAACAACCAAACAATGCACTTAATATTTTAGAAACAAACAAACAAACAAACAAACAAAAATAATAAATTCTATTTAGAAAAATAATTGCTTTATTGTTGTCACGCCTTCCTGAACAGTTGCCCAAGTCCTAAATACCTCCCATAAAATAATTTACACGCTGCAGAATAGGCTATCGAGCGACGCGGCACGTTTTATCTTATGGCCACCTTAGTCATTCCTTGTTGCCATGACTGGTGCCCGTGACCAGCATGGAGTGCTATGCCATAGCCTCCCCGTTACTGGGCTGCAAGCCCTGCCTGCCCCAGGGTCAGTCTCAGGTGGGGATGGGGATGAAGCTGGTCGACTTGGAGTGGGGTGACTCTCTCCAGGTGTTCAAGCTGTGGGTCGGGCTCCTGTTGTTGGTAAAAGAAGTCTGTCGCCTGCTGTTGCTGTTTGAATCCTCTTTACTCAGCGTTTGCTTTATTTTTTGGCAGCAAGGGAAGCTCTGTATGCAGTCCTGCAGGAGGTGCCCGCTGAAGAACATGTAGATCCAGGGGTTACAGCAACTATTCAGGCTGGCCAGCAGAGCCGTGACGGTAGTGGCAGTGTTTTCAGAATCTGAGGAGGGGGGAAGAAAGCAGTTTAATCATCAAAAGAACATTTGCACTGTTCAGTCAACCGCTGCATTAGCTGTTGGATTTTTTTTTTTTTCCCAATTACTGAATAATTCTCGTTTTTAAAGTTGAGCAGCAGCGTTTGAAAGGAATAATGAGGCCATAATCAGGAAAGTTCTTATGTGTGCAAGGCTGCCATTCAAGTCAATGGGAATTTGTCTGAACAGACTCCAAAAAGCTGTGACAGAAGCAGCTATTGGGCAGCCCATCCAAAATAATTCTTTAGTCCCGTTTCCACTGATGTTTATCCATGTGTTGATAAGCTCATGCTTTAAATACTGAACAGTTTTTATTCAGACTTTTGTTTTAAAAATTGGTTACCCTGGGAGGCAATGGCAAAATTCCCACTGATTTCCCACTGCTTCCAATAATACTGATTTTTTCTATGCACATTTGCATGCTGAAAAGTGTTGAATGCTCAAGTAACTACTGGCTTGTGAATCAAACCTGGGTTTCGGAGGTTGAATAAATTTTACTTAAGAAAAAACGGAAGTTAGCAGTATGCCATAAAGCAGTTATGGTCTTCTATCGTAAATAACTAGTTACATTTAAATATACATTTAGTCTAATAAATTATTAGTGAGCTTTCTTTGTAAATATTGCATCTTCAAAGAAGTATAATTGCTGTGTCACACAGTTTCACAAGGCTCTCTTCAAACAAACCTACCAAATAGCCATTTGTTCAATTAGGTTTGCATTTCTTTTGAAGTAAAAAAAAATAAATATCTGTTTGTCCCATGGCAAGCTTTTATTTCTCTGTGGGGACCTGCATTTTAGGTTTGACTTTAGTCCCATACTAGGTGCAATCAGTACTCTCATTACAGTAAGTAATAATTTGGGGCTATTTTAAAAAATCAAGATATCATGAATTCCAACATTTTGACTTGCTGCTCCCTCATTATGAGGAAAGAAGATATGCTACTACATTGCCTGTCATTCCCTATGTAACAATCTTCATCTTCACCAATTATTTTCAGCCAGATTTAACAGAGGAATGGGTATCTCCAAAACACTAAATTGCCACTATTTCATGAGAACTGGTGGCTGACTAAAGGTGCTGCTCAGAGGTGACTGCCCTATTGGGAGGAAGGGTTCAGTGTGTGCTCAGCCCCGTTATTAGAGAGCAGGGAATGCACACGCAAGGCAGTCACAGGAAAAAAGACTTAATAAGTTCCTCTGCTTATATCATTACTTGTGACACGTACGTGTGTATGCTTGCTGATAACACAAAAGGTTTCTAAGGTTTTAATAATCAGCAGCTTCCAATGGAAGAAAATGTTGCTGGTGAGGGGTCTGGAGCACAAGTCTTATGAGGAGAGGCTGAGGGAGCTGGGGTTGTTCAGCCAGGAGAAAAGGAGGCTGAGGGGAGATCATATCACTCTCTACAACTACCTGAGAGGAGGTTGTAGTGAGGTTGGAGTCTGTCTCTTCTCCCAAGTCACAGGAGATAGGACAAGGGGAAATGGCCTCAAGTTGCACCAGGGGAGGTTTAGATTGGATATCAGGACACATTTCTTCACCGAAAGGGTTATCCAGCATTGGAACAGGCTGCCCAGGGAAGTGGTTGAATCACTATCGCTGGAGGTACTTAAAAGACAGGGAGACGTGGTGCTGAGGGACATGTTTAATGGTGGTTTTGGCAGCGCTAGGGTAACGGTTGGAGTCGACGATCTTACAGGTCCTTTCCAACCCCCGCAATCCCATGACCCTATGGTTCAAATTATCGCAGCAAATACTTAAGTTCCCATCCGCTAATTTGGCTGTGGATGAGCAGGCAGCGGCTGCTTCTCTTTTCCGGAGACCCAGCGGCCGCTCCGCTCCGGCTGCTGCCGCCTCGGGTCCAGCCTGGCGCCGCTGCCTCCGCCCCGCAGCCCCCCGGCCCGGGGCCGCCCCGTCGGGGAACGAGAGCTGAGCCCCGGGGCTTGCTCACCTCCCCGCGTAACGGCGCCCGCGGGGCGCGGGGACTTCTTTTTTAAACCGCTTATTTCTTCCCCAGGGGAGAGAGGGGCTCGTTCGACGGGACGGCGCGGGGAGGGCGAGCCCCGGTCCCGCTCTCGGTTCCCGCGCCCCATCTCCCCCAGGCTCGGCTCGGTGCCGCGTCCCCGGAGGACCCCAAAGAGCGCCGGTACGGCCCGGGGGGACAAGCGGCGGCGTGCCCTCCCGCCGCCCGCCGGGCTCCCCCCGTCCCCCGTCACCTACCGACCCAGGGGAAGCGCTGGTCCCAGACGGACCACATCTGGATGGTGAAGAAGGGTGCCCAGCAGACGACGTAGGCCGTGACGATGACGAAGGTCATCTTGACGGTGCGGATCTTGGCGCGGGAGATGGTCTTGACGCTGCTGACACAAGGGGCGAGCAGCAGCCCCCG